CGTATGTTGAAACTCCTTTTAATTTATAATTACTAATTAAAACTATTAGTTTTAAAACAAAATGACTTTTTATAAATTTTATATTTTATTTGCACGTGCGCATCTCTCCTCTTCCTTCTTGCCTTCCCTATACGCACGCACACACACACACACACACATATACACACACACACACACACACACACAACTGCCTCACTCACTCACTCATTCTCTCATATACGATAAAATAAATATATACTATAATGTATGAATTTATTTTGTTTATAAAAGTATATTATGAATAAATAAACTAAGAATCAAGTTATCATACCGTTATATTTCATTCAATAATGAAAATATCAATGTGACGCCATATAACTAATATTCCAATTGTAGATCTTGATTTATTTTTTATCAAGTGTTGTACAATATATCGCTGGATATAGAGAGAAATGGATTAAGAAACAATAATCTAAATGCTCTAAATTTAAATTATACTTATGTATATGATTTCTTTTTCTTTTACTTTTTCTTTGTACGATTGAATGCATAACAAACATAAAAATGAATTTGTAATAATCGGATCAAACACGTCAATTAACGTTTCGTCTTTATTAATCTCTCTCGCATTATGATATATAGCCATAATGATAACTCATAAAAGTTATAATTTATTTATTTTCCTAAACACTATATTCGCATTCGTTGCATTTTCAAAGATCTACTTTCAATTTGGATCCTTTAAAGATTATTGAATCTTTTTGCGAAATATGTGCTTTATCTTATTCGCTCATTCGATTCTGACCGTAAAATAAAATGTATAAAACATGAGAAGAAAGATAATATATGCAGTATATTTTGGCGGATGCACATATCTTATACAAACACACTTTTTCCACCTTATTAATATAAATTGTTTTCACATTTATCAATTATCAATTATAATAAATAGTTTATTTTATATATGCGCGAACTTGCCCTCTATATTGTTGGATATAGAATATCGCATTTTATCACAGCTCTATATAAATCACTTGAGAATAATATGTTATTGTCTCATTTTATGTTACGTGTATTATGTCAATTGCGCTTGTAACGTTTAAAATATTCTCTCACAAATAATGACACATCACATATTATTGTTGTAGATTGACAGAAATACTTGGGGTTCCTCATCAGATAGATCCTCGGCAGGACGTAAACCTATTTTTCTCTACCGTAATATTAGATCATATCGAAAGCATGCCGCAAAATTAATGAGAGGGAAAACATCTTCGCTTAATGCCAATCATCCGGACAAAGTCGCAGAGTAAGTATATTCGATACATATACAGATATAAATCAGTAATCATAAATTTCGACTAAAACTTGGCATCCCATTGTGAAATTTGCATAACAAATAACAATGTTGTAAATTTGTTCAACAGGTCAAGCGACGCTCCAGACATAATCAATTCCGACGAAACACAATGTAGATTTAATCCCAACAGTTATACCATGCTCTTCATTGTCCATAAAGATAGATTTCTTTACAAGCAAAACTCCATGAACCGTGCTAGACGGGTATGTTTACAATTATCATTGATTGCTTTTGCATCTTCCTAAATCTTTCTAAATCTTTGTTTTACATCTATGTAGCTTATCTTCAATCTGTCTTCCTCTGATATTTATTTTCATATCTTGTTATATCTTGATTTATAACAAGCTCGATTTCACTAAAATAAAAAAGAAGAAAAATGTGGAATATTTTGATTTGACAGTGTCATCCAGCCGTGACAAAACGTAAGGATTCCCAGTTTCATCATTGGCATGCATCGTGGATATCCAAGAATGGCACAGATATTCAACATCGGTTGTGTCAAGATTGGTTAATGGGACGATACGAGAACCTGATTCCTCACAGGACACGAGTGATAACGGACAACGATCAGACACGTTCCCCCTATCGGCAATATAATCGGTTCCGAGTAGAACGTCTGCAATCTGATCTATTGACAGAGACGTGTGTCTAATCTGATTCTATGGAATTTCTTACTGTTATCTAAAATTTTCTAATATCACTACGCTCGCTATAATTAGTCTTTTATCAGCAACAATTTTTCTTTGCCAGTTTAGTCGGCATGATCAAGACTCGAAACAGAAATTCTTGAAATATGAGTTTAGTTTTGTGTGAAATAATGAATATTATCTATCGAATATTATCACAGGTGTAGAAACACAATACTCGGTATATTCAAAGAAAGTTAATACTAAGTTAAATTCGATTCCAAAAATATTTATGAGAATAAATGGTCAATGACCGTCCATGTGTTATATGCTACATCATATTATATGTAAAAAGATTTTGTGTGTGCGTGCGCGCGCACACATTTTTTTCCGCACAGAGTTTTATTCTCTTGGCTATACAGAGATATGCAGGCCTGTAATAATATACACAACGATGTACTGTTGCGAATGATTTGATACTATCGCACTGTGAATTCACTATATCAGATAAAAAATTTTTGGTAACATCTACTACTTCTTCTATCGCGTTCTACATTCTCACAAAATGATAACATTTAATCGATAAGTCGTGTTTATTTTATAATATCAATACTAATGTATTACGCGCGACCAGAATTTAATACATTTTACATCTGTATATTTGAATATGGTTTCTATCTTGGTTATTTTCGATTTTAGCAAATATGTACATATACATATAGATACAGATGCTTATCATTCGAGACCTAACCAGAAATGTTAACTATATAAGAAACTGTTTACAAAAGAATGAAAAGTAATTTTAGTTGACATTTTCGACTTATGTCTTTAATGAAATACATATATACCTTTGCATCTATATATAAATATTTGTAATTAGACATACATTTTCAAGCATGTACATATATACATTTGTATATGAGTATGTATACACACACACACACACACACACACACACACAC